GATACTACTTTAACTGTCCAATTCTGTCCTACAGAATCCTGGGATTTGTAGTTTGATGAGAAACTCAGAATTTTCTGTTAGAGAGCTACCCTGAACTGTAGCACTAAGCAGTTCACCCAACTACAAATCCCAAGAGTCCATAGACTGGAACCATGGCAGTTAAAATATTATGAGACTAATCCAGTTTGCACTAATCCAGTTTGACACCACTACCATGGCTCAGTGCTATGGAATTCTGGGAATTGTAGATTTGTGAGACATTTAACCTTCTCTGTCAGAGAGCTCTGGTACCACAATAAACTACAGTTCCTAAAATTCCATAGCATTGAACCATGGTGGTTAAAGTGGTGTCAAACTGGATTATTTCTGCAGTGCAGATGCACCTAGACTGCTATAAATGCATTTCTGTTTTTACGTAGGAACTGATGATATGAAGTGGTCACTGTTTCTGGAAATGGAACCCTTTGACTCAGACTCCTCCTTACTACTTTTACTTGTTCTTGGCTTTTTGTCTATGCTCCGTCTTGTGGCATTATGTCTTCACCCATAACTGAGAAGTGACAAAATGATCACAAAATGCTGCTGAGTTAGCTCAGTTTAATGTTTTGTACTGCAATGGCAATAAATAATGGCCTTGGGAAGTGGGACCAGGCAGAAGATTGTGCTGATAACTGTCAGTGTCTGTGTAGTTTAATCTTTCCCTTCCTCCTCTTTGCAACAAATCTCTTCTATAAATATGTGACATCTGATGTGGCGATAATCGTGAGCCACCAAGCAAGAGGGAGTTCTTCTCAGCATCATGGGCAAATGTTCACGGCAGCTCAGTAGTATGAAAGAGTTAGCTTGTATCAGTGGATCCTTTTTGTATTTGTTTTCAGTTTGGGCTGGGACAAGATATGAAGGCCAAGGGAGTGACTTTTTCCCCCTGTTGCTAACCAACTTGTACAATTCTCATAACTATTTGGGGGAAGATGGGTGGCATTTGAGCATTTTGATTTTCTCTGTTTGCTTTTGCACTATATATCCCTCAGGACTGGAGCTCATCCTCCATCAGCCTTGGCCTTCAGAGGGGTGTTCCTCATTCAAGGGCTCCATGTAACCAATGATGGGGAATTTGACTGTTGGCTAGTTAAACCTTCTCTCTCCTTATGTGCAAATCACTCCTAAGGGGTCATTCAGATATTTTTATTTTTCGCAGAATGATTACCTCATTCATGCATTCCGGATTTATTATTCATACTATGGAATAATTGTGAGTTATTTAACCCTCTTTGTCAGAGAGCCCTGGTGACCCATCAAACTACAAATCCCAGAATTCCATAGCACTGAGCCATGACAGTTAAAATAATAATAATAATAATAATAATAATAATAATAATAATAATAATAATAATAATTTATACGCCACCCCTCTGCATAACAATCGGGGCGGCTTCCAACATAAAAATACGACACAATAAGATCAATCCCAAACCCCAACCCTCCCACCCCTTAAAAAGTTATTAAACAAACATCAGTTAAAAGAATTTAAAAATAAGGCGAAGTGCTGACAAATACAATAACTACAACAATGATGGCTGGAATAGTGGCTGGAATGGGGGGAAGAAAAAGAGGTGCAGATGGGCAGGCTCTATGAGCGGGAGGACTAGTCAGGAAAGACCTGCCAGAAGAGATCCATCTTGTCAAATTGCATTATTTCTGCAGTGCAGATGCAGCCAGTTTGTTTCAGGAAGATCCACAGAACTGTCCAGGGTCCTGAGTGCTTTGCTCTGTTTTCTTTCAGCCACTCTGAGCTTTACCCATTAAGAGCTTGCTGTGTCCTGCCTCACCCAGATGTACATCAGTCTTACTTGAACTGTAATGTGCATCCAAGAATTTGCCCCTTGCATACAGCCCCTTCCAAGGACACTAGTACACAAAGTTTCTTTGCACTTACTGAACATCTTCTGCTAGCATAGGCAGCTGAACAAACTAGGGATGATTTGTTCATTAGGTGGTCCGAGTCTAGGGTCTTGGCTTGTTGTTACCAAACAAGCCAGGGTCATAAGCCAGATTCTGTTCTTGGTTTATGCATCCCAGCCTGTTTGAGAGCATCTAAAGCAGAATCTTGGATGCAGACAACATATTAAACCAGGGTTAGGCAATCTTGGTGCATCTAGGACCCATTTTCTTTTGTCTCTAGGATCCTCCAGCTGCATAGACTGTCAA